AGGGCGGAAGTCGCTGGGCACGAGATCATGCCCGCGCTGCGGCGCGTGTAAATGCGTGCCATGGCCCTTGCCGGGGCCACAACTTCAGTTTCCGAGAGGAACAGAACTGGTAAGACGTGATACAAGAAAGGCCTGAGCGTATGATGAGGGGAGGAAAGCGATGTGGATGCCGTATTGCGATCGAGGAATCTTCGCCCACGTACACCTATTTTATGCGCAGGCGCTGTAATGCCCGAGCCTTACCGGCGCAGCTTGTGTCTGAGTCCCGTTCGAGCTGCTGACCAAAAGAATCCCGTTCAGTGACTGAGACGGAAACCGTACCATGGTCCCCAAGATCTGGATCACCAATTGTGCTTTCAAGGCCAAGAGGTCGCTGCACCGGAAAAATTCTTACGACGTCGCATGAGCCTGAAGGTCACTGGCGATCGGGCCGAGATTCTGATATCACCTTCATCATTGGCCAGTCGTCTAATGCGAAGAGGACTCGACGACTCGAGGTAGAATTGTCTCGTGGACCGGCCACTTCGAGTGAAGGCTGGCTTGGGCGTTGGTCCTGATATTCGGCGACGTCTGCAAGCGATCGACAGTAATTACCGTGAGCAAATCTTCTCGCCAATATGCCGTCCGCCTTCGGTTGGAGGGATATCGTCTTGCGGGGCAAGCTGACACTGTCGCTACCGAAATGTATCAACAGCCACTCCGTGGGCTGTGACCGACTGCCGACCAGCATTCGTCATCGTTCCCTCGTAGCATGGGTCTGCCTTGATCCATATGCTCGTCAGAAAACGCGAGCGTGCACTCAGTGAGAGCTATCAACTGCCGGTCAACCATGTGGCCGGACAAGCCTGCAGGCGGACGATTCCGACAGACATGACGGCATGTAATCCGACGGCGTGGGAAGAGTGCCAGGGCGCGAGAGAAGTTATCCCCGGAGCGAGCACGATCTTCTATTGATATAATGGACGACGTCTGGATGTCGAACCATCGAACGTATCCCGATTGTGAACGACTGAATGATTCGGTGAAGGGACATCGAGAGGCATCAAATGAGCGGAAATGTGTCTGGCGTTCCCATTGCGAATTCACTCGAGTGCAACTTCCGCCCTAAAAGCCACTGCCGAACAGTCTATTAACCCCCCGGACTTTCCAACCACGGGCGACAAAGAACGACAGGTAACGCGGCTCGTCCGCGGTGCCATTACTTCGTCCGTGGCGACCCTCGCGTTGCCGGGTGTTTGGAGATTCCCTAGTGGAACAGCAAGCGCACTATGAGCGGACGAGTTTTCACTACCGGTGGCGAGTGAAGATCAATCTCTTCTAGTCGATAAGCAAAGATAACTAAGTGATGATGGGAATGACGCCGGACACGTCCGTGCCTAGGATCTGGGCGGGGCCAGCGTCGTGCGGCACAATATCCTCGACGCGCCGACGGTGTATGGAGACAAGGTCATGTGGCTGATCACTCTTGAATTGCTTACGATTTTTTCCTGTGCCATTTTACGGCTGCAATGTAAACGAGCCTCAAGTTTCCTGCTACACCGAGTATAGCGTGGACTTCGGGGCGGCCTGCCGTCCTGGAATAACCGCGTGCCCGCGAAAGTGCGCGAGCCCAGAAAAATATTGCGCCCAAATCTCGCTCGTTCAGTGGCTTCCGATATTCGCTACACAGGTGGTCTGCATTGCAGTGCTACCTTACTGTCAGGCACACGCTCGTATGTCCCGACCTAGCAGAGCCTCAGCGACGGCGCTGTAGGCGCTTGCGAATATCTCTGTAACTCATGAGCATCGGTTCGTCTAAGATTGCACCAGTGTATAATTTGCCGGTATATGCGACTCCTGTCATCAGTATCGTGACTGAGACTCAGCTCGCGGATCTTCCGTGCCTTAACCGTGTAGTCACGGCGAGCCAACAGCAAGCTCATCCATTGTTTTGCCAGTCCGCTATAGCGGCGTCACGCGACTTGATGTACAGACAAGCTCCGCGGCCCCATTTTACCCCAGCGTCGCTCGCTTATCCAGACAAAGCGGCATTAATACGGCTCGTCCTTCCCGCACCGGGGTGATTCGCACTCAAATCTATTCGATGTTCAATATGTGTCTGCTGATCCTTGTATGCCCACTCAATCACAACGACTCAATTATATCCGCGTATCACTGCAGTCGATGTGAGCTCAGCGTCTCTCAGCCTGAATGAGGCATCTCGCACGAATCCGTCTGCCGTCCCAGTAGAGTTCACGGCCACGAATTACATGCTTTCGTGCCGATCGTATTTGCCGCATTGAGACGATCCGCGAGAATCAGCGCGCATATGGCGTCCGCCGACCTCACGAACTCAAACCAAAAGCTGTATTATCTCGTCGCACACATACCGAATACCATCAATTTTCGCATTCTCGAGTCACCTGAATCTTCCGGATTTTCGTTTCCAACAACCGCACATTCAAACTCAACGCAGTCTATGTAGGAGGGGTAATCCGTTTACGCGGCGCAACTCTCCCTGGCATATACAAGGGTTGACTTTGTTGCTCCCCCTCCTTCACCAATCCAACGCGAGATACGCAGCAGCACCGATAGCCCTTTCTCACTGACCATCTGAGAACGTGATCATATGGCGGGCCCCCATCAGTCGCCTGCGGGGTGGACTTCACAACATCGACGGAATTTATTTGCCAGTTCCTCAAGTCCGCGTACATTCCCGACTAAAAAATTCTTCCCATTTCTGCCGAGCAAACTCCGGCAGGCGGGCATTCCCAACCCAGCCGCCCAAATCCACGTCTCGCGGAGCAGAAACTTTGCCTTCATCGTACAAGGCACAAGAAAAGTCGTAGCGATCAAGATTATACCCATGACCTGCTCAACACGAGCGCGCGCGTGAGCGTGCGCAACGACGCCCCCAGATCCTGCACGGACGTCGGCTCAGTTCTCACGCCCTCCCCTTTCTTCTTCGAGAAATTGAATCTTCACCCGGTGAAACTCGTCCCCACAATATGTCCCACAACATACGCGCAACACCCGCCACCGAGTCCGCCACCGGACGATAGTAATGGACACCGACGACCCAGTTCGTTTTCCGCCGGTAAACCTCCAGTCTTTAATCCGGAAGTGCCTGTTCCATGACCGTCGACACATTCTTCCGCTAACTTTATGCCTCTCGATGTCCCCTCACACGAATCAATCAGGTCGTCCATTACGTCGTAGTCACGTATCATGTCTGGCGCTCCAGATAACTATCCCTGCACCTTTCCGCCGTCGCATACAATGCCTCTGTTGCGATCGTGCCTGCAGGCTTGTCCCCCATGTTGACCGCCGTGATAGCATACACGCTCGGTTCTGCCGACTCATCACAGACCCTCCACAGGAACCGATGACAATGCTGGTCGGCAGTCTCAAGCCCGATGCTGTTATACATCTTCGTGATGTCAGCCTGCATCCCAAAATCCCCCTCCCGAAAGCGGACCAATATTGCGAGCAGATTGTTCAGGTAATTTGTCGGTCCCTTTGCCAGACATCCATTCAGCGACACACCCCCAGCAGCCTTCCTCGAACTGTCAAAGACAATTCTTACCGGCGTCGAGTCACTCTTCGCATTGACGACTGCCAGATGAGGTATATAGAATCTCGGCCCGTCCCATGACTTCAGCTCTTCCTCTGACAACTTCCGGGCCACACCTCTTCTTACCATATCATCCATTTGGCCCATGTACGTTTCCTTCCATAACGGATCTTTGGCCAAGCTCCGCTCACATGCCCGTAGGCTCGCATACGCCTGCGCATAATTATCCGGAAGATTCCTCGGATCCAATACCCACGGATATCTCGCAATCCACATCCCTTTCTCCTCATCATACCTCAGGCCTTCTTGTATCAGCTTCAGTTCTTGTTCCTCTCGGAAACTGAAGTTGTGCCCCGGCATAGGGCAATGGCCGCACTTACACCCCCCGCAGCGCGGCATGATCTCCGTGCCCAGCGACTCCGCCCTGAAGAATGCATCCGGCTCTGGGTCGCCCCGCTCTGTTAACACCTTGTGACATGACGCAACCGTGTCATCACCGAGATCCCGTGACCCCGCATCCCCACAATCCCTAGGCTCCAGTTCAGGGTGCGTTATCCCGGTCATGATGAACTGTGACGAGCACGCGCTCACATCGGCCCATTCCCCGTGCCGGTCAGTACCTTCATGCAGCAGTGGGTGACTGCCCCCTAGGCACACCCCAAACCGATTCTGCATAATTATCAGGTGCCTACCATCGGACAGTTCTGGAGTCGGCTGCCACCCGGCCTTCTCATTCGCAATGAGAAGATCCACTGCACCTACCGGCCGACGTAGCTTTTCCAGCAGACCTCGCTGGACCCCGGGAAATACTCTCCGTAGAATTCCCTCGTCCAATGGCGCAATATCTCCAGTGATTCTCTCCACTCCGTAAGCATACACTTTGTGCGTCATTCCCTGCAAATCCCGAATCGATACCTCATACAGTCTCGTCTGGTGCGTTTCTCTCACATTCCGCAGTGTAGTCACTTCCACCGTGTGCTCCGTGCTACGATAGTGGTTGGCCTTAGCACACGCGTGAGTGATAAAATGCCCCGTGGACCCCGTATCCCACAGAACACTCACTCGCCTACCTCCCTTGTTACCAGGCACTGACATCATGTGCAGTAGCGTGTTCCGATCCGTTCCCAGGCCGGCCACGTTTGATGACGCTCGCGTGGGTTCGGCACCTGCACCACCCCTGGCGCCAACACCTCTGGCACCACTACCGCCACCGGCTCTAGCGTCACCTCCGGCACTCATAGCATTGCGGGCGCCTGTCCCACTCCGCGGCCCTCCGGTCGTTTGGCCCGTGACAGTTGGACAAATCTAGACGCGTCGACGTAAACCCGGTCCACGATTCGCTTGGTCGTTGGGGGGGCGATCGTCAAACACTGGCTTGATATTGTCGAAGCTCGGGGCGTTTCAAAGGTCAAATAGGCATGAAGTGTAAATCAGAAGGGGAATAATCATGTCACTAGTCCTTAACTTAAGAGGTAAGGGATGAATATAGCAAAATGCGGCAGTTTTCACATCTAAACGCCTCGACCTAGCGAGGCTCGTGAACTAGTCCGTGTACTAGACATCAGTGGATGTTAGGGAAAAGCCATCAACACTTGCTCTTATCTATCATGCCTACTTGCTGTGCCGAAATTGGAGGTCACCATGGTCAATGCGGTCAATGGGCCGGGGCCACAGGGCAGATTTAGACATTTGTCTGAGGACCAATGCTGACGGATAGCGATGTGAAATAAAACTTGTTTTGCTGTTAGCGGGTGACCCTACGCATCTGTTTATTGGCTTTTATTCTGAATAGGCCATGATAGATGTCCCCTCGCTATGACTGACATCCGCCGAAGCCCATCAGTGTCGGATAACCTTTTGACCCGTCTCAAGAATGGAGGTAATAAAAGACCCAGAAACCATGCGATTTGTTGACTGTTTATGACAAAGGAGTGAACTTGCTGAGTTCATTAAGGAGGGAGCCCCCTTCGACCGCCCCACCCCTCCCCCTTCCCCCCACTCCTCACCTTCCCCTCTCCCCAGTCCTCCCT